AGTCCAGGAACCGATGTCTGCATATTTATTTTAGCATTTAAAACTTGTTCATATGCATTCAGCCAGTGTAGCAAACTTTTAAAATCCTTATCACACAAAAATAAAAACATCAATATAATCAGCATAGGCGGATACATGTGATTACATTTGTCTAGGACCTGGAAGTTGAAGACCACGTGTTCCTTTTTTATCAAGGGTCAACAATATATTGGGTAACGATTCTATACACAATGAACAAGTCATTGTCAATGACAGATTATTTTTAGATATTGATAGTATTTAGCATATTAACGTCAAATGTGCAGGTTAAAAGACAAAGTGTGAATGAAATTTGTCAAGCTATGCCCAAGAAACTGTTAATGACCAAATGTCCAAATGTCCAAATGTTGATTTTTGGGACAATTATTGGCTGTCAGGTTTTCACGTGTATCATGACTAGTGAGGTACCAGCTTTGAAAAAAAACATAATATTTAACCCATTACATCTGAAATTGGAAATTGGCATGTCTAAGAAAAAGTTGATGACATTTTAGAATTTTGTGATTTTATTCGTTTTTTGACGAAAAATAGCCGCAATTCAGCAAACTTTCGATGAAAATGAAAAAAAAAAAAACTGAAAACAGCATTTAACCCATTATATCTTGCCTTTGTACAAAATTGAACCCAAATCTCTACAATCATCTCTGTAAAATGAGCAGAACACTTGTAAAAAACAAAATGATCACCAGTCCGCCATTTTGAATCTAATCACAAAAAATACGTGCATTAGTAACCTACCATGACTAATGTCAATTCCACGTTTAAATGCAATAGGTCAAGGCATGTCCGAGAAACGGTTGATAATATGTCCATATGTTGATTTATGGTGTTTTATGGGACAAAAATGGCCACCAGTCGGTCAAAGGTCAACCAAATAAAAAATAAATCGATGTGCACATGTCTTCCATTATGACTTGTCTTTGTACCAGCTTTGAAGAAAATCTGTCCAGACGTCTCTGAGAATGACGACGGAAGCACGGACGAACGCTTTCTCTTGAATGCATTATACAATTTATTATTCTCTTTTTTTAGCGATTTACACGCATTTTGGATCGGGATTTAACTTTGGTTTTCGAACAAAGACACTTGTGAGGTCAAGGGTCAACACCAGAGACATGTACTGAATAAATAAATAAATAAATAAATAAATAAATAAATAAATAAATAAATAAATAAATAAATAAATAAATAAATAAATAAATAAATAAATAAATACGACGAAAGTTGACACACAGGGCTTTGAGAACTGAATCTACTTTAACACTTTGTCACTTTAGAGACCTGATCTTGCTAACCATTGAACTCTTATTGGTGGCTTACACTGTTATTAACCTAATTAGATTTCTTTTGTCGAACATCTATCGCTGCTATATCTTCAGTCAGTTAAACTTGCAAGCTATATAATCCGACATTTTCTCTCGCAAGTCAAAACCTTTCATGATTTATGAAAAACAACATACAATGCACATTGTTCTTGAACTATTCTACTCTTGAACTGATGTGCCGATTTTAGGACTGTTCCTTTTTAGGGAGTACATTTATTATTAGTAGTAAAATATATTATCAATATTGATATATATATATATATATATATATATATATATATATATATAT